GAATGAAACAGCAAAGGAGCCGGGAATGGGAAGGCAAAGGAGCTGGGAATGGGATGGGATGGCAAAGGAGCCGGGCACAACCAGGAGCCCCTGCCCTCCTGCGCAGGGCCGCCGGTTCCCGCGGCGCTCCCGGCCCGGGGCCGGGGCCAGCGCTGGCAGCGGGGCGCTCGGCCGCCCGCCCGCCTCGGCCCATTAGCGATTCCATGAGCGATTCCGCAAGCGGCGACACAAGGGAGCCCCGCGGGCGGGCGCCGGGGGCCGCGTGGGAGGAGGCCGAGGCGGCGGCGGAAGGAACAATGGTGGGAGATCGGCGAGGGGGCGAGAAAGGAAAAGCAGTGGAAAAATACCAGGCGCGGGCGCTGGCAGCGGCGCCCGGACCCTCCCCGCCCCGGGATTATTGTACAAAGAAATGTTATTTTTGCTGCAATAATGTGCTGAGGCAGCGGCATTCCAGCGCGGGGCTCGCATTGTCCCCCCCGGCACCCTGGGGACGCCGCGTGCCCTGGGGGACGCCAAGGGCTGGGTGCTGCCCCTGCTGCCATCGCGGTCCCCTCTGCCGTGGTGGCCGCAGGGGGATGGTGGCACCTGGGGGGGCTGCGGTGCCAATGGCAGGAGATGGGTGCCACGATGCTGTGGGGAGGCCAGCAAGGTGCTGGGGACCGCGGTGGGGACACCAGGGTGCTGGTGACCACAATGGGGCCACCGAGGTGCTGGTGACAATGATGGGGGCACCGAGGTGCTGGTGGCCACAATAGGGACATTGGGGTGCTGGTGACCACTGCGGGGACACTGGGATGCTGAGGACCACAGCAGGACACCAGGATGATGGGGACCGCGATGGCAATGCTGGGGTGCTGGTGCCCACGATGGGGACTCTGGGGTGCTGGTGACAATGATGGGGACACCGAGGTGCTGGTGACCACAATGGGGACATTGGGGTGCCGATGACCACTGCGAGGACACCAGGACGCTGGTGCCCATGATGGGGACACCAGGGTGCTGGTGACAGCAATGGCGACACCAGGGTGCCGGTCACCACGAGGGGGACACCGGGGTGCTGGGGACACCGTGGCCCCCGTCCACGTGTCCCTGAGGAGCCCAAGTCCCCACGCTGGGGCTGGCGCGGGGCTGGGGACCGGGCCCGGCGCAGGGGGACGGGGCCGCGGCGGCACCGTGGGAAGCGGCGGCGCAGGAAGGCGGCGGCGGGGCCGTGAATGGCCGGAAGGCGGCGGCGGGTCCCCCC